CCCGGCTACCCCACACCACACAACCCCCCATACCCCCACTGCCCGAATCACCCATACCCCAACCCACTACGCCCGCGGCCAACCCCCTCACCCCCACTGCTCTTGCTCATCATTTTGACACCCTGACCCTTCGCGACCCCAGCTGGTACATGGATACGGGCGCCTCCCACCATATTGCCTCCGACCCAGATACTCTCTCTCATGTTCGTTCTCATTCTTTAAATTCATCATCACATATCACTGTAGGTAATGGTTCGAAAGTTCGCACTACGGCAACCGGTAATTATCACTTTCCCACTACCCCTCCCCTCTCCCTTCACAACATCCTTGTCTCACCACATATCATCCACAACCTTATTTCTGTTAGACAATTCACCCGAGATAACAATTGCACTGTTGAATTTGACCCTACTGGTTTTTTTGTGAAGGATATGCTGACGGGAACCGTGATTCATCGGTCCAATAATGCTGGTCCCCTCTATCCTATGAGCCCCACCGCTGCCCAAGCTCACGTTGCCACTGCTGATCCGGTTCTCTAGCATCATCGTCTTGGCCACCCGAGTTATGCCGTTCTCCGTGGCGTCCCATCCCTACCTCATTTTTCATCTACTTCTAATAAACAATTTCAGCACTCTTTATGTCATGCTTGTCTGTTGGGAAAACACGTTCGTCTCACATTTGAGTCATCAAGTCGTATTTCTACTTTTCCCTTTCAATTATTACATACAGATTTGTGGCAATCCCCCGTCCCAAGTGTAACTGGTTTTAAACTTTACTTATTACTGTTAGATGATTATTCACATTATTTATGGGTTTTTCCATTACGACATAAATCTGATGTGTGTTCTCATCTTCGTACTTTCATTGCTCACGTGCAAAATCAGTTTAACACCACCATCAAGGCGGTCCAGTGTGATAACGGCACCGAGTACCGTAATGCACCCCTACGCACTATCTTTGAGTCACTCGGTATCCTCTTTCGTTTTTCCTGTCCTCACACGAGCCAGCAGAATGCCCGTGCTGAACGCACTATTCGCACTGTCAACAACACTGTCCCCACTCTTCTCTTTCAAGCAAATTTACCCCCCTCCTTCTGGGTCGAAGCCCTTCATATGGCTTCTCATCTTTTTAACATCCTACCCACCACCACCCTTCAAAATCGCACGCCCCATGAAGTCCTCTATTGCAACCCTCCTACCTACTCACACCTTCTTGTCTTCGGCTGCTTATGCTACCCGAATATTTTCGCCACTGCCCCTAACAAACTAGCACCTCGTTCGGCCCGTTGCGTCTTCCTCGGCTACCCGTCCAACCAACGGGGATACCGCTGTCTTGACCTCCTCACCCATAAGGTCATTACCTCCCGTCATGTTATTTTCGATGAACTCACATATC